CGATGGGGCGCCCGTGGGCATGCAGACACGATGCTATCTTCTGATGAAAAGCCCCATCAGGCGAGAACAATGGCGAAGACGCAAGATCCTGCATGGACTTCTTGAACTCCTCCCCGACGGCGTCGTTGCTCGAACGGAAGACAGCCTCGAAGTTTTTCTGCATCTTCTGGGCGTCCTCAATCGTGGCATCTTGCTTGGTGATCGTTGCACCGCACTCGACCAGGCACTCAATCAACTTCAGGAAGAAGTCGCAGGCTGTTAGGTCAGCGCTACTGCCGAAGACCACCTTGCACTGCACAAGCGTGGAAGTGAGGTCGAGCATCCTGTTTCGTGATGCGCTGGACTGCTCTACCCAAGTCGCCAAGGTCTCCAAGGTGGCCCCCCCGCTCATGACGGGCTTCAAGACGTCAACCCACGCGAGGCGCACGCTTGACGCCAGGTGCAAGAAGTGCTCGCAACGCTCGCCCTTCGAGAAGTCGGGCTTGAACGACGCCAGGCACAGCGGCACCTTCGCCTCGAAGTCCGAACGCAGCTCAAGTAACGCCGCGCGGAGCTCGCCGAGCGACGCGACGTTGGTTGCGCCGATGTGTGGCAATACGGCGTCCGCGGTCTCCTTGAACTTGTTCATGGGGGCTGCCAGAGATGCAATGATCCCCTGCGTATGCTCTGCTTTGGCCACGTGCGCCCGGAACGACTCGAGCAGCTTCCGCCCCCTGGGGAGGCCCATGAGCGCGCCCCCGAGCTGGGTTCCAGTCGTGGGCTTCGCGGCCTTGTCAAGCGTATCCACGGCCTCCTTCCCCAGCTCGACGAGCAGGTCCAGGTCGACATACGAGAACATGCACCAGCACACCCCGAAGGCGGTGAGGAACGACATGGCGTCATCCTCTAAGTCGAAGTCGCGGTCCTCGGCGAACAGCTCGTCGAAGGTCGAGTTCATGTCAGCGTCCTTCATCTTCAAAATTGTAGACATACGCTCGGACCACAAGCGTTCCTGCTCCTCTGAGACGTTCGCCAGGCCAGCCTTCCGCAACGACGCTGAACTCACTTGCACTAGCCACGCGTCAATCGATGAGACGCTACGGATGTCGAACTTGTGCCGCGCATAAGATACGTGCGGTGGAAACTGCAGGGTGGCCGTTGGCTCTAACTGGAGCTTCGTGACGGTCATGTCGTAAGTGTCCTTGAAGGAGTCGTCGTCCAAGCTCGTCTTGCTCGCCTGCGCGAGAGCGAGGGGCAAAGCGATCGGAGGGCAAGGCGAAACGGAGGAGGAGGAGGGAGGCGAAACAGAAGATCTGGAATGTGGATGAAAAAGAATGGAAGGCATCAGTGCCTGTTCCACGATGGCCATGATCGCTGTGAGCTTCTTCCTGGCGATCGTCAGTTTATCGATCTCCTCACTGTCGGGCTCCTTTTTCAAGCGGTTGTCGATGTCCTTGGCGATGTCCCTCAAGCTGCCGAGGATGGACTTGACCTCGGACCCCCACCAGCAAGCGTCTGTCGGCAGGGACGAAGGGAACTGCTCCTCGTACTCCTCAACCTTTTGAACCAAGGGCTTCTTCGGGCGGCCGCGGGGTCCTTGCCCTTGGTTGGATTTGCCCTTTGGCTTCGCCTTCGGCTTGGCCGCGGCCGCGTTGCTGGACTCCTCCCCGGCAATCGTCGGGCGCCCTCCATCGTCGGCCTGCTGCGGGGCGAGGCGCGCGCCCAGCATAGATCCACTGATGCCAGCCCCCTTCGCCCGTGCCGACGTCGGCGGCGACGTGGCGGGGTCGCCGTCGGAAGCCGCGAGCACGGCGCCCACGGCATCGCCCTGCAAGAACGCGCCGCCGAAGTCTGGGACGAACGAATCCGCAATGGCCCTCATGCGCGCGTCGACGTTGCCCCCCTCGTCCGCCACTTGGCCGAGCTTGATCTTCTTGTTGACGCTCTGCACGGAATTGAATTCTACTCGCTTGAACTTCTTGTCTGGGACGATAACGACCGTTGCGCCCCCGCTGTCGACAGACTTGTAGTGGCCCTTCTGCGTTTGAATTTTCCCGTCGTTCTCAGCCATGTATTCGTCGTAGTCCCACTCCTCGTACCCAGGCTTCTTCGTGACAGCCTGCAAGCTCTCCGTGACGTCCATCTGCGCAGCAGCCTGGGGGGAATGGATCACGCGACCCCGAGGAAGGGCCCCCCCGAGAAGCGCACGATAACGCGATCACGCGATCCCGAGGAGGGCTCCCCAAGAGTGAAGATTCCCCCGAAAGGCGCACGTGATCGCGCGATCCTGAGGGGAGCTCCCCCACCCCCACATCGGCCTCTCACTGGCCACCGCTGGGGCCACCCCACCTGGGAACCTCTTGAAACCCTCGAGGCCCGTCACGGGCCTGCCCATGGGGCCAAAGGCAGTCTCGGGGTCCTTAGGAAGGCTCATATGTAATCCCAAGATGGCGACGAGAGGGCGCCCAATGCGGCCACGCGAGAAGCCCCTCGCGCTCTCCCGAGCCCTCCTGGAGCCAAATGGGGCCCAAAAGATTACTTCTTGCGACCTCCAGAGAGCCCCGAGACGAGGAAACCCCACCGAAGGCCTCATCGGCAGGGTTCGCATTACGGCATCGGGTCATACTCCTCCTCCTCCTCCCCTCCTCCTCCTCCTCCTCCTCCTCCTCCTCCTCCTCCTCCTCCCTCCTCCTCCTCCTCCTCCTCCTCCTCCTCCTCTCCTCCTCCTCCTCCTCCTCCTCCCCCCCGCCCCCCCCGCTCCTCCTCCTCCCACCCCCCCCCCCCCCCCCTCCTCCCCCACCTCCTCCTCCTCCTCCCGCGAGGACAAGAAAAAAGGCACCGACGCAGATCCAGAAGAGATCCCAATTAGAAGATTTGCCCAATAATTTTCGCGAACAACAGCCCCAAAGCCAGTCCAGCAGGGACCAAACGCAGCCCCGAGGCAAATCCAACAGAGACAAACATAAAGGCGCCAATCCACCGCCACCTCACGAGCATGAGGAGGAGGAGGAGGAAGAGGAGGAGGCCTCTTCCTCCTCCTCCTCCACCTCCTCCCCCGCCCTTCCCCCTCCTCCTGCACCTCCTCCTCCTCCTCCTCCCCCCGACGGATCTGACGCATTACAATGTCTGTGCCGTTTGCCAACCCACGCATCATCCTCCACGGACTCCCAGTCAACGTGGCCATTGCGACTGCCACCGCGATCGATGATGGCCTTGATCAGCGTCTTCTGCAAGCTGAGGTGCAGCTGGTGCCGGGCGTCGTCCCGGCCCAGGTTGTTAGCGTACACCGTCATCGTCAAGCCTTTGATGCCCCTGAGCCTGGAGGTGAAGATTCGCTGGCAGTAGAAGCAAAAATCCAGCGAGCCCTTCAGGGCTTGAGTGGGTTAGGTTGCCAGCTCTGATCAAGGCCCCGATTCTAAGGTTAACCCCCCCATGCCCTCTCCCCCAGGGCATGGAGCATCCAAGGTCAGCCAACGATGCGCGCAAAGGTTGACATCCACTCAAGAAAACGCTGTTTTAGTAACGGTGCCTGCCCGCCCAAAATACGACGCGGGCTTGCATTAGGGCCTAATACAAGCCCTCCGTGGCCAGATCGATGCCCTCCAAGATGACGCCCAGAGACCTCCCGCATCTATCCGCAGAACCCCAAGCCCCCTTCGCTTGCTCCATGGCCAACGACCGCGGCCTCAGAAACGGTCGCGCTTGAGACGGCTAGTCTAGACCAAACTTGGTCTGGACTAGCCGTCTCAAGTGCGACCGTTTCTGGTGCCACGATCGCGCCGCAACGGCTGTTGTTTGGGAATGGGCTGGCGGGGGTGCGCGAAGCGCAAAGACTTGCCTTGGGTCTCGCCGTTGGCCCCCGCCGGCTTGCCCCAGGACATATACACGGTCCGCCCGAAGTGCTTCTCGACTGGGTCTTCGTCATCGTCATGGAATACACAAATGAGGCACTTCTTGTGGGACGGCCTCCGCACCGCAGGGACTGGTTCGGGGTTGGCATCGGCCAGCGCCCGCTCCATCTCTTCCTCCCCGGCAGACGCGCGCGACGCAGCTCTCCTGGACCCGCCACTCCGCGCGCCATGTCTCGACATGCTCTGTCCTGGCCCGAGAGCCAAGCCCATCTGCGAGGGCTGCGAGGGCTCCCCCATGGCCCGGCGACGCAACTCGCAGGGCCGTCGGGGCTCGGCAAACTCAGCCAAAAAGGCTTGCTACAAACGCGATGGGGCCCAAGAGGATTCGGGCTCAACTGAACCAGGATGCAATCGAAAACGTTTAAGGCAACTCGCTATCGAACTGCCCACGTCATGGAACGATGCGTCTAAGCGACGCGCGCCCAGGCAAAGCGCCAAGACAATCCACAGAGACTGAGCCCAAGACGACCGACCAGCACCCAATCACAGGAGAGACTGAGAACAACCAGGCGCGGGCTCCACATCCCACGGCCCAGGCAGGGGACAAGCTGAACCCAAGACGACCGACGCGGACCCAAAGACCATCTGACCCGCGCCCAGGCGCGCGAGTTGAGACCCGCGCCCAGGCACGCGAGAGCGGACAAGCGGCCCAGGAGGCCCCATATAATAGAACATGCGAGTTTACATCAGAATTGGAGATTGGGGCAATCTCTTCTTTTCGGTTTCCGACGGCCCAAGACTCCCAAGAGGCCCCCAAGATGGCCCCCAAGGCCCCCAATACAAAACCCAGACGGCCGACCCGCGCACAAGCACGCGGCCGCATGCCCACGACCCAGGCACGGTCCGCAAAAAGGCATTGGGCGAGAAGCAAGGGGGAGGAGAGGGGGAGGAGAAATTGGGGAGGACGCTTGGCCCCCCCTGAACTCCCGAAACGATATGTCACTCCGTCTTATGATCGCGATCGCCTGGACAAGAAACGTCTAAGCGCTGAAAGCGGCTGCAAGCGGAGAACGCCGCGACATGCGGCGCCGAGAATGGAGCTGCGACCCCTCAGTCGCTGCTGGCCGAAACGTCGCTGGAATCGACAACATCTTCAGCGCCCCCCTCATCCGGGGCGCCACTGTCGCCCTGGGCTGCACACGGGCTCGGCTCATAGAATCGGCCGAACGTCGAAAGACTTGCGATCGCCCACGGGCCCAGGTGGAAGAGCGAATACGCATTGCCCGCCATGTTCGAGATCATGTCGAGGTAGCTGAAATCCTTGGTTTGGTCATTCCTGCGCTTCCACATCGTGGCGTCCCAGCCGATCATCGTGAAGAGCTCGATCGGCTCAACCGCCCTGACATGGACGACGCCACTGCTGCGGTACCGCACGATCATCGTCATGCTGCCAACCAATGTCGGGGGCCTCGATGACCACGGCGACGGCGCAACAGCATCACCAGTAACACTTTTCGGGCGGTAAGTGTCCTCGTCCAGGTGCCGCTTGATGGTCCGCTGCGTGCTCTGGTTCACGTCGAAGAACTCCATCTGGGTGCCGATCGCCATCGGGAAGAGGACGTGCGACATAACTGCGAGCTCGAACTCGCGAGGCAGCATTCCCGACCTATGGATGACATCGCCGCCAACGGGCGGCGCCGCATGGTCAAAAGGCCACTGAATGCCATTCGCCTGGAAGATCTCCCTGTGCTCGTGCTTCCAATTCGGATCATCCTTCTTCGACTTGCTCTCCCTGCCAACGCCGAAGTCGGACCACAGTGGGATCCCAGAGACTGTCGACATGCGCTTGAGAAACTCGTCGTTGGTTTCAATACACGGCCAGGTTTTCGGGTTGTCGGCATCGCTGGCGTTGGGCAGCCTGCACGCCACCAGCACTCGATTGAAATGGTGAGCGATCTCATCCGGCGAACCTTTCATGTGCAGCATTCCAGTCCAATACGTCCGCACGCGCCGCGGGTAAGCCCCGAAGTCGCAGGAGTCAAGCGTGCCGTGGTGAGCCCAGTACCCCATCTTCTTCAGCTCGCTGGTAACCCAAGAAGCATCCGAATCCTGCTGAACGCCACCCTCCTGATTCAATTCCTTAACGCACTCCAAGTGAACGATAGTCGGCCAATGCTGCTTGATGACGCTGAGGGTCTCATTGAAACCGACGCCCGTCGCCTCGCGGCTCTCCTGGACGCAGCCAAGGTTGGCAGCCCGCCGGCACGACAACGGCGTCCTCGAAGTGCAAGGCGGCCCGGCGTCTAAAATGAAGCACCACGGCAATAGCTCCTCGGTGCCGCCGCGGGCGTCGTTGTCACTCGAAGGAGATTTGAGCTTCTTCACGTCCCCGACCAAGAAGCGAGGGCTGAACTGGTCCATGATGTGCTGCTGCTTCTCTGGGTTGAGCTCGCTGTACACCGTCGTGTCGAATACCACTTCGATTCCGAACTCCCTGTTCAACACGGTCTGCAGCGCCGAGTAGAAATGCGTCCCCACCCCGCTACCTGCGAACAAACTCCAGCGCGCGGCAATGCCCTCCGGGACCTTGGAAGCGAAGCTCCTCAAGCCGTTGATGCAATCGATTTCGACTTCAGGGCCGAGCTCCGTGAGCCAGCGGCGCACCATGTGCTCGGCCAGATTCCGAGGCTCAAACTCTGAGCACGCGCTCACGTGGGGTCGCAGCTTCCTCCGGGGCGTGGAGAAGGACTCCCCGATGATCTGCACGGCGTCCTCGTCGCCCTCGGCGCCAGCCTCCCGCTCCAGCGGGTCGTCGACCTGAGGGGCGGGGCGTCAAGTTCTGAGGCGCTGCCATTCACAGGGGGCCAACGCTTGCGAACTGTCTACATCGGGGGGGTCGCTCTCAATCGATCGTCGCTGCGGATACTTACCAATAGCAAACCAGAAATCTCTCAAACCTTAAATCCAGTCAGCACTTTTTATTCACATCGATATATTAAATCTTTTTAAAACCATCAAATACATTATTTACGAAAATCTCCGAAAATCCTCGGGGGATTCTGAACAGGCGAAACGCCTGAGACATCCTCGCAAACCGCGCGAACCAAAATCTCAGAAAATCCTCTGAGAAAAATGATTTATTAAATCAAGCAACTATTAAATAAAACAATTAAGATATTCAAAAACATTTTTGTATCATGCTTATATCACGCGCCAGCGCCTGCTAACCTCAAAAGACATCCCGCGCCATGATGCGATTCTCCTGGGAGGGGGCCCTGCTCCGACCCCCCCTGCCCCCCCCCCCTCCTCGCCCCTTCCCCCCTTGTCCAAGAGTTAGTGTTCAACGCCGCTCCTCCGCCTCCTCCTCCTCTTCATTCTCCTCATCATCCTGCATGTGAAACGTAACTCGTCCTCCTCTTCCTCCTCTTCCAGGTCCGCAATGTTTCGCGCGCGGCCTGAAAAGCCCAAGCCTTGCTGCGCAACCTCAGAAACATGCCGCCCAGTGGGGCGAGGAGGAGATTAAGGGATGGGATGAAGAGGGGGAGAAGCAGCGGCAGGAGGATAAGCACGATGAGGGACGGGCGGGTGGAGGAGGGGGGAGGGAAGGAAGAGCAGACGGAAATGGAGATGAACGCGCGAGTTGGGGAGCTAGCCAACGACCTGGCAGTGATCGTCATCGGCGCCGCCCTCCTCGTCCCCCATGCAGCTCTTGGAGTCGCCGAAGTCCGCGCCCAAGGCGTCGGCCAAGCTGCCGCCCACCGCCGCGATGGCGCCGACCGCGTCGTCGTCATCCCCGAGGACGCTGGGCGACGCTGGTTCGCGCTCGCAGGCGCCACGGACCGCCGAGGCTGGGGGCGCTGGGGCTGGCGCGCCGACCGAGGACTCGACAGCGAGCTGCTCGGTCTGGTTCTCCGACCCCGCATCCTCGCGGCCCTCGGGCTGCGGCGGCGACGGCGAGGCGGCAGCGGTCAGCGCCGGGGCCGACGCTCCGAGCTCGCCATCCTCATTGGCCACCGCGCTCTGCACCTTCCTCAAGGGTGGGAGGCCGCTCACCTGCGGCCGCACTGCCACGCACACAGGCGGTGCAAGTAACGCTTTAGTCAACTCCTCGAAGCTTGGCGGCTGACGATCGGCATCATCCTGCGGGTCTGTATGCGCCATTGCTATCGCAACGCCGCCTGGATCATCTCTGTGCTTGCGCAGCGCCGCCTTCTTCTTCTCTTGCCACTTCCTCACCCGGGCGATGGCGGTCTCGACAATAGCGTCGATGCCCTCCTCGGTGTAGGTCTTAGCGTCTGCTAGTGAGACCCTGATTTTGCCAAATGCCCCCTGCTCCTCTCCTCCGTCTGCAGCTGAGCTCTGCGCCTGAACTGACCCTGCGCCTGTGACGTCGCTCGCCCTCTGTCTCTTGTCCTGCGAAGTGTCTCCGCCATCCCCAGAGCCTCGAGATGGAGAGGTGGGATTCGCTTGCTTCCTGGCCCGCTTGGCCATATTGCCAAATCTGTTTGAAGCCGAATGGCTATGGACGATGGGGAGGAGTGCGCGCCACCGTCGGCCAAGTACAACGATGACTGGCACGATGGGTTCGATAGATACGCTTGGCGAGCAAGGAGCTGCGAGCTATTCGGTGCAATCTACTCGCAGCGCGCTGCATCCAGCCACGACTGCATTGCAATAGGCCGAGCGCGACTGAGCCTCTGTGGGCTTGCCTGGCGCGCGAGGCGGCAACGAGGCGCGAGGGGCGGCGACAGCGCGATGACCGTCGGAAAGCCGATCGACATCCAAGGGGCGCGCCGCAAGGACCAAGACGCATGCAACAACATGCGTTCCAAGCTGATACGTCTTGGAAGTGAATCGGGCCGTCTTGGACTTGCATGGCGTCTCCAACGCCTCAATCCCTATGGGCAGCGGGAGGCCCTGAAACTGTGGTGGCCCCGAGCCCTCGTGGTTTCACACACCTCATGGCCTTTTGGAGGCTCTCAATACCCCCCGAAGACCTCTCCCCCCCCCCCCCCCCCTCACGCCTGACACCAAGGCTCTGGGAGGCCCTGACACTGCGGGGGCCCCGGGCCCTTGGAGCTCCCGACGCTTGACCCCGGGCCTTGATATGCCCCGAGAAACCCTGAGGCTATGGAGAGTCCGAGTCCCGAGATCCCCTCGCGCCTGACGCCAGAGCCCAAGGGCCCTGAAAAGCCCAGAGGCTCTGGAGACCCATGGCCCCCGCGGCCTTGCCCTGAGACTCTGAAGACCTCCAGCTCTCCAGACCCCTGGAAACCCAGAAACCCTCGGAGGCCTAACCTAGGACCTCGGGCGGGGGAGGGTTGGCCATGGGGCCATGGGCCATGCCGAACGGCGCGACCAGCAACTCGGCAAGTGGCTTGTTTTCCGAACTACGACCGTCCCTCGCAGCGCTTTCTCAATGAACTCTGCCAATGGCTGACGCGTTGTCGCGGCGAGCCCTCGCAAATGATAGCCAGACCGATGCTGACGCACGAGGCCGTGCCTGCGCGGAGAGGAAGTGCCTGTACGACGTGCATTACTGAGAATGACAACCCAACCCCTGAATGTAATGTAAGACTCGCTGGCCGAAGAGACAATGGCCATGGTTCCAGGTGACGCACCCCTCCCCCTCCCCCTCCCATGACCCCCCTCCCCTGTCTCATCCATGCTCCATGCCAAACTCAACTCGGCTGGGGCGACTAATTGTGCCGAATGCGCAATGGTTCCTCGAAAGACCCCGCAGGGTGGTGCCGCCGTTCTAATTCGAGGAGCTCCTTATAATTGTTCTCAGTTTCGCGATCAACCAACCACTTCCGGGCGTCGATTCTCGTCTGCCACTGGGCGGCAGAACGCAACTCCCCTAGAATGCCCGAGTGCTTCGCACGAGTGTCGCATTCTGGATGCAGGTGAGGGTGCTGGAGAAAAGCTACCAAGTATCCTAAGCCTAAGCGGTTGCATTTTTTGTTAGCCCTGCAAAGACCGTGGCCTGGGAATTTACAATGGGCCCCCAACTGGTCATCAATGGCATCGTAGACGATGAACGAGCCGTGATCACCGATCGGCCAGCGCGCCCACGGCCCAGCAGCAGGCGGCGGGGGCGCAGGAGGCGGCGGCGGCTCGCCCTCGGCAGGCGCCCCTTCAACGGCAAGACCGCCTGGAAGATGCGGCGGTTCATGCGGAGGTAGAAGTGGGGGCGGGGGAACGCCAGCATCGCTGTCGACATCAGAGCCCTCCCTGCTCGGAGCGCTGCCCCGATGGTCGGACGACGAACCCTCGCCCTCCTCGGCTCCAGCTGGGCCCAGGTGCACAGGGTCTCCAGCTCCTGGGCCTGGGTGCGCGAGCGGGCCGACGGCTCTGACGCCTGGCCGTCGTCGCCGCTTCGCGACTGCCGGGCCGCAGGCGGCCTTGAAGCCGTCCTTCATGAGCTTCAGCCCCCTGTCCACTGGAGCGCGCGCCTTGATGCACGGGTGCACGCGCTGCTCCGTCTGGAGAAGGTTATCATCAACATCCGTTTGCAAGAATACCTCCCTCGCTGAATCGACTGCGCGATCCCGATCCACTGGCGCAGGTGACACATGCAATTCAAGAGGGTGGTCTCGAGGAGACTCCATGATCACAGAGCCCACGAGGGACACGCCAGTGATGCAGGGGAAGATGCCGTCGGCGTCCTCGATGTCGATGCTGAGGCGCCTCGAAGCCGGGTCGAAAGTACAAGGCAAAAACAACGACACCCGCGGGTTGCCGCCTCGCAGGTGCCCCAAGGCAACCCAAGTGACAACGTGCCAGTCAGGCCCAGTGACAAACCGCAAGCGATGGAAAGAACCACGAGGGTGACGGCCCATTGCCCTGGCGAGATCCTTCTCGCATTCCTTGGCTCGCTGCACAACCCAAGCGTTGGTCTCTGCACATAGTCCAGGATGCGCCAGAGGGCACGGAATGTAATATTCGAACACATCTGACTCCTTGATGGCCTTGCGATCAGGAATGAACAGGCCATCGACATGACTATCTCGGAAGCAAGGCGCATAGCGCGTAAATCCTGCTGGCTTGCCCTTCGAATCCTGCCCCAGCTTGATGCGAACGCGCCGCTCGAAAGACTCCGTCGTGTAAGGCGTCCGGGCGTCGCCGACGGAGTCGACGAACGTGGCGAACCGCCGCCTGCCCACGCACGGTGGTTCGCCCCTGATGACATCGGGGTGATCAACGCGATAGGGCTGCGCCCCTGGCGGTTGGAACTTCTCGCCGCTGGCTGTCCGCCACGCCGCGTACTGCTCGCTATTCATGATGGCCCCGTCGACTGCGACGAAACGCTGTCTGCTCGGAGAAAGCAGAAGGTCGTCGCCGTCGAACTCCTCCCCCTGCTCTCTGGCCAACCTGCCAGCGAACGCCAGCTGCGCTTCGGCCTGCTCGACTTTCCTTGCCTGCTCCCCCAATTGCCTGAACTCTTCACCCTTCGCTGCCTGCCAAGCTCTGTACTGGCACTTAGTCATGGTCGCCCCCTCAAGTGCCAGCTGCTCCTTGCGAGCCCCCTCGGCCTTCATCATGAAATTCACGAATGGCCCCCGAGGCTTGGGGGTTCGCTCTCGCTCGACGCAACGAAGGGCTACTCCATCCTCTACCAGCTGCTGCCTTTCAAGGAGACACATGTAAGCTACCTGCACACTAAGATACGAAATCAGCGACTCGCCCTCCTCGCAGGGGACAGGCAAACCCGAAACATTCCTGCTGGGAAAAGACCCCGTTCGATAACCATTACGCGCGCCTTGGGCCGCGGCTCCGAGAGGACCCCCAAGAATCCTTCGAGGGGGCTCCGCGAGAGCCCTCGGATAAACCTCCACCCCTTCCCCTCAGTTGCAAGGGCGACGGCCGCAATCATGACAGAAGGGGGTCGGACCCTGTTGGGGCCCGCGTGGGCCTTCCTGGTGCGGTTTGGGGCAAGCGTTTGCCTTGGCTCTCGCAACCTCCAGCTTTCGAAAAAAAAAGCTCCAGGTCGAGACCATGGCCCATCATGACGCTCTCTTGAAACCCCGTTGAACCCTCTTGGGCTCGGCTTCGGCTCCCCGGCGCCCCCCGAGGACGTCTCGAGCCCCTTCGAAGGACACGCGACCCTCGGTCACTCGAAGCTTACCAGTCGAAACGACTGCCCAAATCGAATGAACGGGAGCTGGAAACAATCTGGGAGGCAGTTCTGGGTGCTGTTTACATGTGCGGGCCTGGACTTGGAAACAGGAGTTGCGAATCCTTTGGCAGCGTGCTCCCGGAGCAGCTGCGACAGGAACCCGTTGCTACACACTCGTTCTACGTCGACGTCGCCATCGTCCGTTGACTGGCGTATCTGGGCGAGAAGCCTCTCAGTCCACATGTCCGTGAAGTGGTAATTCGTCGCCCACGTTACTAGAAGCCTCCTGAAATCCAGATCCTGCGGGGGGGGGGGGGCGCCGAAGAGCAAGCGCCGACGCAAGATGTGATCATCGGGCCGCAGTTCTACGCCGCCTCCTCATCCCCAACCTCCTCTCCTTCATCCTTCCCCCCGCTGGGCGTCTGCGCTTCGGCGCCCCCCATGGGTCCTGCCGCAGCGCCTGCGCATCGGCAAAGATGTTCGCAACCTTCGCGCAGAAACCTCGGTGGCGGCAACACGGCTTCCTGGCGTCCGAGAAGAAGAAGTCAGCGACCGCATCCTGGTCGGCCTTGCTCACGCCTGGGTGGATCATGCGAGCCCATTGGTATGGGAAGTCCTCGTAGCGCAGGAAGCGCCAATACATCTGGCTAGCGAAATCAAGCCCGAGTCCTCGGAGCCTCTCCATCATCACGCGCTTCAAGCGGTCTGGGAACGAATCGAAGATCGGCTTCATCTGCCCAGTGGGCCCATCGGTGACCAGCGCGGTCAACTTGCGGCGGCAGACGAAGAA